GCTGAGATTTTTATTTAAAAACCTTTGGGCCACTTGAGTCATAAATTTYACATGATTTTTTTTATGCTGCAGAACTTTCATCCCATAATTATCTRATCTAGGTTTATATGTCTGAAACGCTGTGAAAAGTAGCCCTAAACCTGGGTGAGAAACTCAGTGACATTTGGCATCCGAGTTGATCAACTCAGCTGAACTCAGCTTTCAGTCCACATCACGTCTCACTTCTCTGCCAATTAAAAGCTTTAAAGTCTTCAAGCAAATCCCACAAAATTACTACCTCTCTGGCACGAGGACAAACACCCCTGGTGCTGATGGAGAGCTGTTTGAGGAGCCACCCCCCCCCCCCCCCCCCCCCCCCCCCAACCCTGTGGAGAATGGCTTCATGCAGAACTCCGCTCCATCTCAGTGATATTTTATAAGAAGTGCAGACACCGCCTGAGTCTGGACCTGCCCTGGCTTTTTACTGTGGAGGAAATAAGATCTCTTAGTCGGGCGGCAGTGAGCTGAGAAAAACACATTACAATCAATAGCTTCCCTGAAAAGACACTAAAGTGCACACACCCACTTGTTTAAATGGACCAGAGGAGGACCGTGTTTCCTGACAGGGCTCTTATTGTTTCCAGTTGAGAGTTTGAAGGGAGACTTCAGATCTTGACACTTGACTAGTTTTTTTTTCTTTTGTAAAACTCTCAAACACAGACAAGCAGTCGTTCAGGTGTAAAATTAGAAAAGAACACATTTCTTTTATACACTGACAAAAAAAAGGTTAAGCACAGAAGAGCAATGGTCTGGTTTAAACATGATTTGGTCCACATGCAGAGCGGAAAAGGGTGTGTTGAGAGGAGWGGGCCAGATTTGGTGTGAAATTGCCACTGCTGCCTGACTGCTGACAATGCAAGTTGTTTGTCAACCATGTGGGCCAGGTCTGGCAATGATGGCACTGTTTTTAAGATGACATGCCYCAACTGACCCACTTGTGGTTTGGTTTATGTGGACTAAATTGGTCAATATCACAACTGGCCTGTTTGTGGTTAGTTTGTGTGGCCCAAATCTGTCAATGCCACAACTGACCCACTTGTGGTTTGGTTTATGTAGCCCATACTGGTCAATGCCACAACTGGCCCACTTTTGGCATATGTGGCCCAAATCTGTAAATTCCGCAACTGGCCCACTTGTGGTTAGACTTATTTGGCCCAAATCTGTCAATGCCACAATTGGCCCGCTTGTGGTTTGGTTTATGTGGTGCTGGTCCATGCATTGACCACCCCTGGAAAACCACATCTAGACAACCAAAGGGCCATCATTCTGTGCGGTATCTGGGCCGAGTGTTAGTTCAGAGTATGCTTTGTGGGCCAGAACTGGGCCAGACAAATTTTGCTATGTGGGTATGACTGGTAAAGAGGTTTAAAACAAGCACCAGCATGCGTAGGTAGTTTTATCTATTTGGTCTGATATTGATATTGTTATACTGTAATCACCTGACAGTTCATCAACTCATGAAATTTTTTTTATTTCTACCATCATCTGGTTTCTGCACATTTTCTTTTTTTTCTTCAGTGAGTGTGTTTTACCTCACTCAGTCTAGGTTTTTGGGTGTTTTGTGTCATGGTCACTTCAATGTATGTTGCCAACTGCTGTTAACTGGAAAATTGATTTTTTTTTCCCTCTTTCTTCTCATGTTTTATGGGCATTGTTAATTTTTAATTTCTCCAATGCTCAGAGCATCTGATTGCTGATGATTGTAGGGTCAATAAGAATATTTAGATTATGATAAATGTGCTCCACTTATTTGCTGACATGCTGGATATTGAGATTATTTTGCTCTGGGGGTGCTAAAAACATTTTGCATTTTGAAACAAAACACATTCATATTTTGTAAAAAAAATTAACTTTTGCAGAACACAATGATTAAAAAAGAAGCACTTCTTAGCCTCTTTTGCCAACTACCCATTCTTTGGCATGGCCTGAAAAAATTTTCTGTTGCTATTATTGGATGTTGGCTGGCTTCCTAATCGGGTCGCCCCTCTGGACTACAGCATCCATCCATTTAGAAACAATGCTGCAGCCTCTTCCTCCTCCTCCTGATCCTCCCTCTCACTGGAGCGCCTGCATCCGTTCGCCCATCGCTGCTCGCCTGCTGGATTCAGCGGGATTCATTTTCTGTGGGGGGAAATTGGTGTGCTGATTGGRCTATTTACTCGTGGATTAGCCATTAAAAAGCTGTTAGTGACTTTCCCACTATCAGTTCAATGCAATCATTTTGCCAGGGAGATAAGGTCATTATTACAGACTGCAGAGAGGTTCAACCCCCCCTCCATCARATCTCCTGAACTCTGTTCAGTTTAAACTGCTGCATGTGCTGAAGGGAAGCAATGGACAAATTATTGCCCCGCCCCTCGAGATATATCCCCCGCTATTGTATCTATTATTATCACATTTGAAAAAGCTATTAAGTTTGTATCCATGAGTTTATTTCTTTTTGTGTTGCTTGTTTACATTCAGGGAGCAGATTTTTTTTCRCTCCACACAGCATATTTCTGTTTGTAAGCAGATCTAAACAAGATCGTAGTTATTTCTGGAGGAGAAAGACAGCCTCAGTGTCTTTACTTGAACACTTCACAAGCCAGCAGGCAGAACTGTGCCGAATTTCTGCTTCATAATTAGCTGAGTGGGAGGAAGTGAGATGAAACAAGAAGAAGGTGCAGAGAGAGAAAAAGAGGAAGACTGAAAATCTTCTGCTAGGACGCGCTCTTCCAAACTTTGTGACGGGAGCTCAGGATGGCCTCGGGGTCGACCGATACGCTCCGCTGTTCTCTCACTAACCACCAGAAAGTTTTTTTTGTTTTACTTGTCGTTTGTTTTTTGCTGCCACCCAGCGTGGATCACAGTTTTAAAAAACATGTGGTTTTTCTCCAGGGGCGGACTGGGAAGAAAAAGTGGCCTGGGACTTCCTGACAGACACTTTCAACAAGTCAATCAAGGAGGAGATATATGTCCAACAAATTACTTCACTGAATCAAACTAAATATATTTATAGATTTATTTTGGTGTCTCTCAGTATAAACTATGAGCTACCGAAATGATAAAACAAGATTTATTTTTCTTACTAAACAGATATGCCTTCAAATATTATAGTATGTAACTGTACTTTCCACCTGAACAAAAGATAAAATATTTTATTTGAGTAGAATAATGCAGTAATTAAAACAAAATGTAAAGTCAATCGGTGTCAGGGATGCAATGGATCCAACCACTGCCAGGCTGATTAGTGGGAGGACTTAATTTCTGAATTATAAAAGCATTCTTTTGCTTATAAAATGATGGATATTCCCATATGCACATCCTTTAAATCCAAGAATTCAAAGAAAACATCTTTAAATTTCAGAAACTTGGCAAAATACAATATATTTTACCCATTTTGTCACATAACTGGCATATTCTCCTCTGAAAGTGGCTCAGCAAAAGTGAAACAGGAAGTGACATCAAAGGGGAACTCTTTAAGAAGGTGAACTTCCTGGTCTTCGTTTAATGAAACAATATTTAAACTCTTTTTCGTCTCTCTGATATTGACTCAAACTAATAAAAGAATCAGCAGATTCTTCTCTACAGTCTGTAGCAACTCTCTCTTTACATGCAGACATGCCCCTTTGACGTCACTTCCTGTTACTTCACATGTCAATATCTCAACAACCYTTWATCTCAGTAGCATGAAATATCTTTTGTAATATGCTATTTACGTTATTTTGCCAAAAATGTATTCATGTTTATTAAAAAAATGATGTCACAGTCACTTTAAAGACATAGTTTCGTCAAATGATTTAATGGGGGATTCGATCATCAGTTTTCCAAAAAATTGGAGAGACTCTACAAGAGTTTACTGCGTGACTGCATGGCCGAGCGTGACAGCGCCTCCACGGGCTGAACCATCTTTGGCCCAACAGCCCACTGACTGAGCGGCCCACTGGGAAAAATCCCAGTATTCCTGTTGTCTAGTCCACCCCTGGTTTTCTATCAAATCACCTCAGAGTGCATTGAACTTTTGTCCAAATATCCACAATCAAAACTTCCATTACAAAACTGAAATTGAAAAAAAAATTGTTAAGCTACATAAAAAGCTGTAGAAACTTTAAAATTCTCGGACATGACCACGAGAGCAGGCGATTTCTTTCAGTTCAAGAATTTTTAAGATATTTTTTAAGATCTTTTGAAGAGATGATTTTGCAACATGACCATTGAGGATTATGTTTTTGTCAGTGTTTCTGTCATGCTTCAGGGATGTTCAGTACAGGTCCTAGAGGGGCAACTGCATGTTTTAAAGGGGACCTGTCGTGCAAAATCCACGTTTTTAGCCTTTAAGTACGCTTTGTTGTGTTATTGGGAGTATTTAGGAGTGAAGAAAATTAGAATTTAGTCTTTCCCGGTGCTGTGTAGATATCTTTATTTTCTGTTTGGGTCATATCTTTCAGTCTGTTCAGTTTCTCTGTTCCCTGTTATGTTTTTTTTTTAATAATAACATCACGTCTGTTTCAAAACTTATTTTGGTCCAGCTGAAGGTAATTGTATGACTAAATTCTTTGCAATTTAATGTCTAAATCTGAATTTGTCTCCTTGTTCGTGTCTCGCCTTCCAGTAAAAACATGTTTCTTACATTTTAATAAAATATTCAATAAAAAGTTTCAGCACTGATAGATAATCGTGATAATCGGTGGCGGGGTGTGAAGCGCCTTATTTGCATTTAAAGAGACAGCACCAAAACGAGTTGCTGGACGCACTTCAGAACAGGGGTGAAAGTGGGGATTGTGGAGTTACAATAAGGAGGATTTCAGACCAAAGCATTGCAGTTCCACTTTATGTAGACCCCAAGTGAACGATTTAAATGTGAAAAGGAATTTAAAAGCATGAAGTGTCCCCTTTAACTGTTTCTCCACATTATCTGAATTGAAACTGTGAGGTTAGATGTCAGGTATTTTCCGTTCACGTGTTTGCGTGTTTTATTCCAGGTGGGCCCTCACAGTGGTCGTCCTCGCACTGCGACTGCTTCTGCAAGAGCCACAAGAGCGAGCGCGAGGGAGAGAGCGGCACCTCTTTCAACGACCTCTCCACTTCTTGCTCCGAGACCCAGTCGGAGGCCAGCTCCCCGCAAGGGACCGTGATCTGTGGGCCCGTGAGCCGGCAGGCCAACATCCAGACGCTGGACCGCCCCGGGCCCAAGGGCCCCGTGCACATGCTGCACCAGGCCGAGATGCGCCGCAAGACGGACGGGCTCCGCGTGCGAACCTTCGGCGTGCGCGAGCGAGAGGCCTCAAAGAGGAAAGCCAACAAGGAGAAGATGACGCCGGAGCAGGAGCTGGAGAAATGCATCCAGGACTTCCGGCGCATCAGGATCCCCGATCGCTTCCCTGAGAGGAAGTACATGTGGCAATCGGAGCTGCTGAGGAAGTACCGTCTATAAGTCTGAAGTGGAAAAAAAAGCTAATAAAAAAGATAGAGACAATGCTGAACTATCACTACACAGCCTGTAAAGAGGATTGAAATGCATATGGCAATACACTGCACACTCTAAGACACAATCTGTACCAGGAAAAAAAAAAKACACACAACAACCCAAAGCACATGCAGTACAAAGCAGAGAAGTTATTGATTTATAACGTTTGCACAGTGTCGTGTTCAGTATGCACGTGTGTAAATCCGAATGAGGCTACAAACAAAAGACACAATGCAGGTTTGAACATCACCAACAACAAAGAAACCTCAGGGGAACCATCGTTTCAGTTCACCAACCTATCACACTGTGTGTGCTGTAGCTGTTTTTAAAACCCGATGTAACCAGATGGTGCTGCGAGGACGCGACAGAATCTCCCTGTACTTCACCGAGAACACACACGTATGTTAAGTATGCTTTGGCAACAGCACTGCATGTCATTTCACCTTTAGCATAAAATGTGCAATACTGAACCAAGTTTCAATTCATCCAATGGGTATAAAAAAATGAGGGAGAGTTGAGAGGAGCACTGCCTGGATCTGTTTGCCAACGTAGAACTCTTTGTCTGATGTTGTCATTTTGTGTTGGTTAGACGGTTTACTGTAGGACAAAGAGCCAATCCATATCGGTCCAATTCATGATTGTAAGTGTGCTGAAAAAAATTCAAAAGCAAATAAAGGGTTAGAATTATACCTGATGATGATGGACTTTGTTGTGATGTTTAAACAACTCTACTCTGAAGAAACAAGCGTTCAGAACCTGCCTCCTTTGTTTACCGTGTTGGCCGGAGCAAGAGAGCTTTTATCTTAGAGCTCAAAACGGATCAAATATAAAACATGCCCACATCACCATCATACATAGCTAAAACCTCCTGCACCCTGGACTGAGACCAGCCGACGTGAGCAGACCAAAAACAGCAAGCCTGGCTGTTGTCTGTTTCATCAAGCATAAAAGCTAACGTGGATGGGTGTCTACGCCTGGTCCAACTCAAGTCCCGCAGGTCAAATATGGTCCGCCACAGCATTTTGTGTGGTTCCCAAGAGCTTCAAATATGTATTAATATCTTAAAATGAGCATATGCTGCTTAAAAGCCAKCATTGACCATAAACTCTATTCCTATATCCATGTCACTGCGTTTTCACCAGCTTCTTTTCCTGCAGTCCAGTTACACTCGGAACTGGGAATTTCCTGCTTAGAAGTCGTAAATTTAAATTCCGGTGGGAACTGGGTTGAAAATGAAGTCTCCAGATTCTGAATTATGTGACACTTTGCTCCAATCCTTTCCAGTTTCCTTTATGAAGAAAAGGTTTCAAAATCTTCAAGTTTAAAATTATAATTTGCAAAATTACAACCTAAAATGCTAAACAATGATTATGGTCGACAGTAAAGATTTTGGGATCCAAAAAAAAAGAAAAAAAAAAGAAAAACCTTTATTGTAGTTATTCTCCTTGGCTCCAAGTGAGTTTCATCAGTATCTTTTAATTTAATAATTGTTCAAAACTACAAATACACCATATTGAAACTTTTTGGCCTCTTAAACTGGTCAAAGGACTGTATGTTTCAAGGTATTTTTGTGTTTATAAAAAGAGATCAACTCAGCAGCACAACGGCTCAGCTGTTAGCACTGATGCCTCACAGCAAGAAGGTCCTGGGTTCAATTTACGGTTTGGATAAAAGATCTTTCTGTGTAGACTTTGCATGTTCTCCTTGTGTGCGTGGGTTTTCTCCGGGTACTTAGTTTTCCTCCCACAGACCACAAACGTGCACGTTAAGTTGCCTTCAGGCCTTCCTCGCAAAAAGATCTCAATGGGATTTGCCTGGTTAAATAAAGGTTAAAAAAACAAGACCTACTCTATCATGTGTTAGGTAACAAATTAAACATTGACGTTTTGTTTAGAATGGAATAATGTGAAAATATGCATAGTAGTAAAACCAATTTTAGTTAGGGTATTTTTGTATTTCTGCAGTAAAGAAAAGTTTTACTTTCCAGGCTAGGTGTTATAGCTCAATTCTCTTTTAAAATAAAGCACATCTTGTGTAATTAAACATACTGTGAAAAAAGTCAGCTATGTTTCCAGCTTGCAGAGCTGGGATGCCTATATGACTGATCATGTGACCATCCTCAGTCAAAAGAGTCCAAATCTGGACAACCAAAACCAGACACTTAGTGTCCAGTTAAAGACTCAAGTGAAACTGAAAAGAAGTCTGCAAAAACACTCACAAGAGGAATGAAAGTTTTTTTTTTTTTTCAAGAAAAGGACAAACAATAAAAATATTTTTTGGGGTGGCCATTGCCGCCCCCCCGGCCCCCTTTTACTGACGCCTCTGGTAAACCAATCCTGTGCAGTTTGACAGAAAAAACCAGTCGCTCATTTCCAGCCCCTCTGCCCTGACATGACTTCTATCAGATTCAAATGCTCTAATCTTCGACTCATCGGTTCAGAACACCTGCTGCCACATTTCAGAGCTCTCCTTCAGCTGATGCCTCTACTGGACATTTGGCTCTTTACTTTCCCTCCCACTTCGTGCCGTCTCCTTGTCTTACCCCTCAGTTTTCAGCCTTCAGTCGTGCTCATTTTTGGTGCTTTTTCAGGAGAATCCTGACAGCACATTTGGAAGGAGCTGCCAGCTGAAACGTTTCTGCCTGTGACTGAACCTGATGATGCTGGATGATCCCCCTGCGTGCCACTCTTTTTCTTGTCATGGATGAAGACGTAATCTCTCAGGTGGAGTTGTCACCAATTTTCTTTTCTGCTGCTGAATTGTTTGTTCTCTGCTGAAGAACTTCATCTCACCCCATATAACACTATACTTTGTTTAGTCACATTTATTTTTGTCCACCAACTTGTTAAAAACTGCCTTACAAAAAATAATCACATAACTTAAAAGCAATTTTTTTCAGAAAACACAAAAACGTCACCAAAAAATTTAGCACATAATAAATAATAAATCACTGTAAGCTGAGGATGAGGAGGGTAGGAAGCTGGGACATCACAGGGAGAACTGTAAGACAGAAAAGGACTAATGAGGTCTGAGAGGCAGCTGAGCTGATTGGYGACTGGCAACAGGAGTGAGTGAGGGAGAAATGGTGCAGGGAACACAAAAACACTCAAACAGACCCGAGTGTGGCAACATTAGGAATGGTAAACACTAGAATATTAAATTTACAGAAAAAACAAAAACCCAAATAATAATAATAAAAACACAGGTGGCCAGCATCCTGAGGCGATAGGCCAGAAGTCTTTCACCATGTTCGTAGTGACACACTGACCTACACATTTTAGCTGTGTTCTGGCTTCAACACACCTGATTCACATCATTAAATTACTCAGAGTGCCTGTCAATCACTCATACATTTCAGTCAGGTGTGTTGAAGCAGGGAAACATAAAACATGCAGGACAGTGGATGACGAGGACCAGGACTGAAGACCTCTGCTTTAGATAAGATAAGATAAGATAAGATAAGATAAGATAAGATAAGATAAGATAAGATAAGATAAGATAAGATAAGATAAGATAAAATAAATCCGTTTTGCCAAAAAATGACTTAGAGGATCATTTTAGGATGGTGACGATATACAAGAACAGCATCCAGAACAAATGAGGAAAGTGACTCTGCTCAGCACAGAAACAATAGAGCACATGAAACAATAACACATGATGTGCAATATAATATTATACAATATAAGATTATACAATATTATATAATGAGAGCTAACTCAGAACCATTTGACAGATCTACGTATTAAAATTAATAACGTTGGCCACACCACTGCATTACTTTTAACATAAAATGTGCAATACAGCAGAGGTTCTCAAACTGGGGTCCCAGGACCCCCAGGGGTCTGTTAGAGGTATCTTGGGGGTCCTCAAAAAATTTCACAAAATTGTTAATTTGGTTTTTATTTTTAAAAATGCATGGAGAACAATGAAACAATAAAACAAACATAATAAACTTAATAAAAATATATATTCCCATGGCATTTAGGGGTTGAAATGACAACAAATTATCTTTTAAAACAGTATGGGGGTTATGAGGGGGTCCCTGGAATTCTTTTGCCCTTGTAAGGGGTCCACAGACCCAAATGGCTTGAGAATGCCTACAATACAGAACTAAATTCACATCCCATCTGATGCGTAAAAAAAAAAGAGACTGTAAAAGATGTAAGTCGTGTGAGTCCTAACTACTTTCATTGTATGTGCTTTAATACCCACCTTGTGGAAATTTTGCTGTCCCAATAACCACATTAGTAATTAATAAACCATTAAAACATTAAATACAAGCATCTCCTGTCGGGCACATTTTACTAAACATTCAAATTCATATCTGAACATAAGTTTAAGTTAATTTTTAAGCTGTTCATATAAAGCTTTTCTTTCTTTGMGACTTAATTCCAAATGACAATGATTTTTTTTCTTTAAAAGCAAACATTTGTCTGAGCCTTAACCAAAGCCAGGTTGCCTGGAGCCTGCAGCTCTCCTCTGACTTCACTCAGGAAGTGAAACAGATCCCATAATGTTGACACTCAAACATGCACTTCTTCCTCTAGAAAACCATCTCAAGGAAAGAGGAAAAGTGTAGCACTGAGAGCACTATTTTTAGCCAGCGGATTTCTGCAGTGTTCCCACGTTGCATCGGTAAGGAGCTCGGATTGGGCGGTGGATCACTGCAACCCCCCAAAAACAGCTCTCGAGATGATAGATGAAGACCTGCTTCTCTCTTGGGGCCTCAAGTGTCCTCCAACGCAAGTTCCAAGGAAAAAAAGAAAAAGCTGTGTCAGGCCTCTGATTTTGTTCTGTATGCAGAAATGAGAGCAACAATAAGAACATTGTAAATGTAAAATACGCAGTATTTTTCTTCAGCTGAGGCATACGAACAAAAATAAAATAATCAATGCAGGTAAAAAAAATGCAACAAAAAGGCCTTTAAATTAATTTTAGTTGTGAAATCTAAAATAGGTTTGTGTTCTGGAAGGATATCATACAGCTGTGTGGCATAAACTGTGGCAAGCAGCTGCTAGAAAAACAACAAATTAGGGCAAAAAAATCTGGTCTTTGTCAAATTGAACATCAAGTGTACAAAAACACGAACATATTCTGCTTTCATTACTTATTAAACAGAAACAAAATGGAAAACTGTGAAAAAATGAGTATGTTGCAGTTTTCCGCTGCTAGATGCACCTTTAGCAGCAGTAATTTGAAGTATATTTTCCTTCTGAATGTTTTAGTCCCTCACATGGTTGTGGGGTATATTGCTTCTTCAGCCCATTCAGGTTTGCAGAGGGTCCTGTCAAAGCATCACAGTCAGGTTCAGGTCTGGACGTTGACTCAGACAGCTTTGATTCTTTTTTTCCAGCAAATTCTGTTGTAGATGTGCTGTTGTGTTTTGGATCATTGTTCTGTTTCATCGTGACCCAGTTTGATCCAAACYTCAGTTGTCAGACAGATGTGCACAGAGGTCCTGTGGCTGCAAACTCATCATCACCCCTCCACCACCGTGCTTGACAGTAAACAGGAAGTGTTTGTTTTGATCTTATTATTTCTACTTAGGTCCAAAAGAAAAATGAAACTGATCATTATATTTTGAAATATAGTTAATTGAAAAATGACAGATTGTTTTAGTTCAAAAGCCAAAAACTGACAATGAATGTTTAAAGATGTAGTTTAATTATGTATTTTTCAAATATTTGACTTTTG